CTGCAACAGCATCTCCACCACCTTGACACAACCCCTATGGCAGGCCATGTGCAGTGGTGTATCGCCACCCTGTGGGATGATGCATCCGCATGACGAACAGGTACAGCATCATCATCATCATCATCATCATGTGGTCCATGTCACCATCAGTGGGGAGGGTGGGGGGAAGAGGGAGGTACTGTACTGACGTTGGTCTTAGCTTTAGCATCAACACCGTGCTGCAACAGCATCTCCACCACCTTGACATAACCGTGATAGCAGGCCATGTGCAGTGGTGTATCGCCACCCTGTGGGATGATGCATCCGCATGACGAACAGGTACAGCATCATCATCATCATCATCATGTGGTCCATGTCACCATCATAGGGGGAGGGGGGAGGAGGGAAGAACTGTACTGACGTTGGTCTTGGCTTCAGCATCAGCACCGTGCTGCAACAGCATCTCCACCACCTTGACAAGACCCTTATGGCAGGCCGTGTGCAGTGCTGTAGAGCCACCCTGTGGGATGATGCATCAGCATGACGTACAGGTACAGCATCATCATCATCATTATCATGTGGTACAGGTCACCATCAGGGAGGGGTAAAGGGGGGAAGAGGGAAGAACTGTACTGACCTTGTTCTTGGCTTCAGTATCAGCACCGTGCTGCAACAGCATCTCCACCACCTTGTCATGATCCCTATGGCAGGCCGTGTGCAGTGGTGTACCGCCCCACTGTGGGATGATGCATCCGCATGACGAACAGGTACAGCATCAGCCTCATCATCATCATCATCATGTGGTCCAGGTGCACCATCATAGGGGGGGTAAAGGGGGGGAAGAGGGAGGTACTGTACTGACCGTGTCCTTGGCTTTAGTATCAACACCGTACTGCAACAGCATCTCCACCACCTTGTCATGACCCTTAAGGCAGGCATTGTGCAGTGGTGTACGGCCATACTGTGGGATGATGCAAACATGCAGTATATGTCTCATGTTACACCATAACGTCACCCCATTTGGTGACATATTCAAAGTGTAACAAATATCACACAACATCATATCAAACTGCATACGTACCTTATCTTTGTATTGGGCAGCATCTCGAATGCGTTGTTGGTCCCAACTGGTCACCAGCTGCAGCGCCTCTTGTGGATCTGATGAATCACACGCACTGTACAACTGCTCTCCATCATCACTCATAATAACGGTATCTCTCTCATCCGCTTCAAACCGCTTTGCTTGCTTCTCTACCCACCACCAATTTCATGAGCCCCCTCCAAGTACAACTCGTCTGACAACCTAGAATTCGACAGGCGCGCGCCGTTTCCAAAACGGCAGCCGATCAGCGGGCACTTTGCTCTTCTCTATCTGTTGAAGCAAACGACTCACCTTTGGCCAATTATCTTCGTTAACAGTTGCTAGGACCGGCGTACTTGGTTGCCCAGCGCACGCTGACGACCTGCGAGGCGAGATCTGTGGCCTCAAAAAATGGCAGCGGTTTCAACCAAAACGTTCTGGCGTCGCCGCAAGGCCCCGACCAGGAAAGTCCCGTACCAAGCACAAACGATCAGTCACCACGCACACACAAAGCAAGACACCTCAAGCAGCCCGCCGATGCCGATACCGATACCGAGACCGCTGCCAAAAAAGAAGGAGAAAAGAAGCAAAGGGCAAAGAGGGAACAAGAAAAATGCCAACACACACACACAGACACACACACGTTTACTCTTATTCTTCTTTTTTAATTCTTTACTTTTCGAGAAAAGTTAAATTCCAAAGCGCCCGTTAAGCTTGTTCGTATGGCGATTTCTTTGCGAGAGCATTGTCTCAAAGGCTCGCTGTGATGTGGGTCACAATCAGCTCATTGCCGTCAATATCACAAGACCTTACGCGACCACACCTTTCTGCAAAGCGAAGCCGACCGGAAAAAAAAAAAACACAACCCGCCTATTTTTTTCGCGGCGACCCGCAGCTCGGCACGCAGCGATCAAGCCCCGAGTTTCTCTGCCACAGGGGAAGCTGGAAAAAAAGGGGGTGTGGACATCCAGCTGCTCATCCAGGAGCCAGCTTTGTGTGTTTTTGATATGGGACTGGCAGCCCTTGCCTATCAGACCCCGAAGCACCGAGAGATACTCCTGATAAATTCGATCACAAGCGCACAACGCTTCCCAAACAAACGCACAAAGAGAAAACAAAAACCACGCTAGACGGTTGTATCTCGCTCCAGCATGGGACCGAGATTGTACGCCAAGCCGCCCGTGGCGCCGGCTTGCTGAAGGCGAGCTATGAGTTGGTCGAGTCTGGCGCAGGGCGCGACTAGAGTGTCGTTGACGAACCAGCCTTGATCGACCGGGCTC